GTGGCCGTTCCGCCGCCTACGGCGGGCGGCCACCTTACCCTAGTTATTCTCTATCGCCGACAGATGTAGCCGTAGTCTAGTCTCTTCGCTCTTTGCCGATACCCCCTGGCTTACAATGCTGTCTTCCGCCTCCCCTGTAAAAATAGTACACAGACCTAGAGAGAGCGGTACCAGGTGCGCCCCGACCACCTTCCCTACGCTCGACGCCACCTCGGCTACGTACCTTTCCTGGTCCAACATCTCTGTTTTGCAGGTAGCACTCCACAAGGCACCAAGACAATGAAGGTGATTGCGGAGAGCGGACAGAAATTGGTTGGAGCGATGCGTTCAAACTCGAGAGAAAACGTAACGGTGGTGGTCACCATCAGCGCGGCGGGTGCCCGCGAAGAGCGACATGTTGGGCATTCTTGGGGATGCTTGGTTGCGGAGCTTTTCCGAGGAGCAGAACATATCATCCTTTGCAGGGGCAGGCCTTTGGCCGGTGGACGGGGAGCGGGCGATGGGTCGACTTCAAGGTGTAGGGAAGAGGAAGGAAAGATCAGGTGCCCGCCCGCCCGTCGAGGACATCACAGTGGCGATTTCCGACAAGGATCTTGCGGACAACAACCTCGGCCCACGAACGGTTCGCGAGCTGCAGCAAAGGGCCAGTGCGTCAAGGGCATCCTTATCAACACGGTCATGCTCGGAGCCTTCGTCAAGGCGAAAATGAAGCAGAAGAAGCTCGCCATCACCCGCAAGTCGCAAGGTCTCCCGGAAGGAGGGGTTATCACGTGCGATGACGTCATGCAAAAATACCTCGAGGACGAACGCCAGAAGGTCGAGGCCGTGGAAGCTCTGAAAGAAAAAAGAATGGCACGGGAGATCAAGAGGGCAGCGAGGGAAGCTGCGAGCTTGGAACAGGGGGCAAACCGCGCAGGGCGTGGGCATGGACGGGGAGGAGGGCGAGGCGACACAAGGGGTGAAGGCTCTAGTGGGCGGGAGGTCAGGGGCAAGGGCGGGGGCGAAGAGAAGGAAGGGGCGGGCGTGGGATGGGCGGCGCGGCGGGCGGGGGGGCGTTCGTGATCAAGTGGGGGAGGGGATTGTGGCGAATGCCACTGGGCGGGGTGCTGGTCGTGGTCGAGTGGTCGGAGGGGTAGTGGGGAATGCCGGCGTATCCAGGTCAGGGCGAACGCTGACGCCGGCACGCGTAGTCGACGTGTAGGTTTTTCTGTACCGATCCGAACTCAACCTAGTTTGATTCCAAATCGGTTGAAACCGCCCTTGGAATTGGCAAGGAGTCGGCAATCAAATGGTTGGAGTTTTTTTTTGGAGCGTCGAGCAGTTCTGCGATTGTACGAGGCCACGCTGTACTATACCGTTCTAGCGGTTTGAATCAGTTTCTGACTGGAAAAATCCGGGGATGTGACCACTCTGTCCCCGGTTGGGGTCTCCTCCCCCCCGTTTGTATTTACTTGCTCCTTGCTTTAGTGTCGAGGTCTGTGTCAAACGGCGAATCATGGGGTGAAAGCGAAGCAGAGAAAAACAGGAGATGCAGCGTCGTGCATATCGGGACTGGGGGTTGCCGTAGACGGACGCGAACACCGGTAAATGCACCCGCTTCGTACCGATCAAAATGGCGTGCAAACTACCGTTTCATGTCGCGATTTTTTTGCGAAGTCGTTGTAAAGCAGTACCAACTCAATCCTGAACATTTTTTTTGGCCCTACCCCGATTCATGGTCACGGGGCCCCTCAGCAAGTGATAGTTGGAGTGTTTTTCCGTCCAAAAAGTTGGTTCAAAACCCGGGGATACGCCAATTTCATCCCCGCATACATTTTTTTTTTTTTGCAACGACTCATATTCATTAGGTGATTGACCATGACACCAAGTATCATGTCCTGAAACGTTGTTTAACGTGCACAATGTGGCTCTAACGCAAAGTGGGGCTTAATTGGCGGGGGGTGGTTTTCCGTTTTTTCAGCTTCGAGGAGCCATGTATTGTACTGACTCTAACAGCACACAAACTCATTTGTTTTCAATTCTTTTTTTCTACACTCAGATATTGATGTTGGCTTTCGTTCAATACCTCGATTGTACTCTAGTTCAACCTTTTCACGAAGTACCAGCTTTTCCCGCACAGGGTGGCTTAAGTGGGGCTCCATAGGGACATCGACTCTAGGCTGTCGGCGAGAAAAGGTTGGGATACGAATATACAAATTGCTTGATGGGACTCAAAATCGAAACCGAAAGTTTTCTCCTCTGAAAGCGATGACTTCGCAGGCAGTGCGCTCCAGCTGCTTTCCGGTGGAAAGGACACCAATCCGAAAGCGAAATCTCTCCCCTGAAAGCAATGACTTCGTTGGCAGTGCGCACTCCTCCAGCAATCTTCCCGGCGTGGAAGGGACACGAAATCGAAATCGAAATTTTGATCCCTGAAAGCAATGCGCACTCCTCCAGCAATCTTCCCGGCATGGAAGGGACACGAAATCGAAAGTGAAATCTCTCCCCTGCAAGCAAGGACTTCGTTGGCAGTGCGCACTCCTCCAGCAATCTTCCCAGCGTGGAAGGGACACAAAATCGAAATCGAAATTTTGATCCCTGAAAGCAGTGACTTCGTTGGCAGTGCACTCCACCAGCAATCTTCCTCATGAAATCGAAATCGAATCGAAAGTTTTCTCCCCTGAAGCAGGAAGGGAAATGCAATAAGTGCATGGTCATGAACACGCGCAATCTCTGCAGTGGATGGAACTCGAAATCGGAACTTTTCCTCCCCTGAAAATAATTGAAAGCATGATGGGTAGTTTTGCAGCAGACTTCCTTGGCATTGCAACCCAGCAATCCTCCTGGTAGATGGGACATGGATCCGAAACAGAAAATAGTTTTCCTGAAGGAGGAAGCGCAAGGCTATTGGCAACAGCGGTGTTGCCCGCTAGAGGCAGGGACGCTAGGCCTGCCAGGTAGAAAATGCAATCGTAACTGAACATGTCCTCCCTCGAAAGTAGTCGAGAGCATGGTCACTTGCTCCCGGTGGATGTTACACGGAAGCGAAAATGAAAGAAAAGTAGTCTACGTGGCGATCTTCCTTCCTTGTGGATGAACACGAAACGGAAATCGAAAAGCGGGAAACGGGATGCAATTGGGAGGGAGGCTAGTCCTGCCCTTCAGAGGCAGAGTAGATCTGGTTGGTAGAAGCGGCTGAGGATTGGCGCGCATGCCAATCGAAACCGAAAGAAATCGAGTCTACTTGGCAGGTCAAGTGCACTCTAGCAACCTTCCTTGGAACGGAAACCGAAAAGGAGGAAACGAAATGCAATTGGGAAGGAGGCGGGTCCTGCGTTTCAGCGTTAGAGAGGCTAGGCCTGGGTAGAAGAAGACGCTCGGGATTGGCGCGCATTCCAGCAAACTTCCCGGTGACGAAATGGAATCGAGGTGCAACGAAATGCAATTGGAACAGAGGCTACGTCTGCCCGGTAGAAAACGCAACCCGCTGAGCTTCGTATTGGGTCTCGTTTTCGGCGGCGGCGACCAAGCGATTCCACTCGGAATCGGTGTTGAAGCACTCTTCGTACAGGGCCGCGTAGCAGTCGGTGATCAGTTGTTCGAAGTGGTAGTAGTCGGCGAATTGCTGGTCGTAGTCGGCGAGTTGCTGGTCGCAGGTCATGATGACGCTACTGTAGTTGGACCAGGTGCGGTGGAGGGTTGTGTTCAAGGGCAGAAGGTGTGAGCATGCAGAAGGAGTAGTGCATAGAGGACTCGTTGTAAAGTAGATAAATTGCAGATGGATCGGCGTTGCTAGGATTGGGGAGAGTTTGAAACGTTGATGGGAATGTTGTATCTGAGTTGGGGAGCAAATATTTCGGGTTCGCCGAGGTACGCTCTTGAGTGGGACATAACATCAAGGTATTGGTCATACGACGAATACTGGCGAGCCCTTTCTCCGAGGATGTTGAGGTACTCTGAATTAACTCCTGGGGTGATGGCATTGTGGAGGCCAGGATGGTTTCGGTGCTGGCGCATGTAGTGAACAACTTCTGTTCGGACTTGGGCGTGTCTTTCAGGTTCGTTGTAAACACGTCTTGCAATTCCGCGGAAGCCGCAGGCACCATCTCCAATTTCTGGGACAACAGACCACGAATGAGTTGGTGGTGGTGGGGGTTGAGATGAACCGGGGTTGCTTGGAGGAATGCCAGGTGGGGTAACAGGTCCAGAAGCAGTCTGCCCAGTTGCGGCTTCCGTGAAAGGATAATAGACGCAGTTTTGTACGTGTGCGATGGAGTTTATGATATGATCATGAGGCACGAGTACCATGACGGAATGTCGGTTTCTTGCTCTGCTGAGGGCAACGTAGAGTTGTCCGTGAGCGATGCAGTCGGAACGCAGGTCAAGCCCAATACGAGACAACGTCTGGCCCTGGCTCTTCTTCACTGTGAGGGAATACGCAATTCTCAAAGGAAACTGGACGCGATTGAAGGTGATGCCATTTCTGCCTACTTTAGCGTACAATGAGATACGAGGAATGAGTGACAACAGAATTGTAGTTGCTGTTTGTTGTGTAGTTGGCAGTGGTGGCGCAGTTTGGGTAGATACAACACAGAGTGATCATTAGATCCAAAACACAGGCGCCCAAGCTGTCTTCACCTGACGGTTACAGACTTGGAGACACGCCTTCACAATACTGCACAAAACCCATGCAGTAGAATAGAGTCAGTTCTTGCATACAAATCCCAACAT